CAAAGGATTCTCCCAGGCAGGCAGCTAAGACCTCCCAACAAACGATTTCCCCAGACAGGCAGATAACACCTCCCAAGAAAGGATTCCCCCAAGCAGGCCGATAACAACTCCCAACAAAGTATTCCACCAGGTAGGCAGCTAACCTGTCCAACAAAGGATTCCCCCAGGCAGTCAGATAACACCTCCCAACGAAGGATTTCCCCAGGCAGGCAGCTAACAACTCCCAACAAAGGATTCCACCAGGCAGGCAGCTAACACCTCCTGACACAACGGGAGAGATGACCCCATCCACCAGGCAGATAGGTAACAGGTCCCAACAAAGGTTTCCTCCAGGCAGGCAGCTAACAACTCCCAACAAAGGATTCCACCAGGGAGGCAGCTAACACCTCCCAACAAAGGATTCCACCAGGCAGGCAGCTAACAACTCCCAACAAAGGATTCCACCAGGCAGGCAGCTAACACCTTCCAACAAAATATTCCACCAGGCAGGCAGCTAACCCGTCTAACAAAGGATTCTCCCAGGGAGGCAGCTAACACTTCCCAACAAAGGATTCCACCAGACCTCACAACCTCTGAGGATGCCTGCCATAGATGTGGGTGAAATGTCAGGAGAGAATGCTTCCAGAAAATGGCCATAGAGTCCGGAAAACTCACAGCAGCGACTGCTCTGGAATTGTCAGTCTGCAATGCCAATCAACCCCATCAATGTCAAGGGAAGGGGATGATGGGGTTTGTAGGCCACAATAACGAGCCGGGGCTTTACAGCAAGTGTGGGCAAACTTTGGCCCTCCAGCTGTTTTGGACTACAACTCCCACAATTCCTGGCCTCGGGCCCTTTCAGGAGAAATGTCAGGAGAGAATGCTGCTGGGACATGGCCACAGAGCCCAGAAAACACACAAGAACCCTGTGATCCCGGCCCTGAAAGCCTTCGACAACACACGGAAAGCCATGGGATCTCTCTCTTTTCTTCCCACCAGATTGTGGCGGATTTGCCAAGCGGATTAACCCACATGCAAGATCCCCACAAAGAAGCAGGCGAGCACATGAAAAGCAATGAAAGGAGAGGCAAGGCGGAGAAGAAATCCATTTGGATAGACATCTCCTTATTTATGGTTGCTGTGAATATTCTGGGATGCCTGGTCATATTCCAGAAGCATTCTCTCCTGACATTTTGCCTACATCCTATGGCAGAGGTTGTGAGGTCTGTCGGAAACTATGTATCTGTGGAATGATGTCCAGGGTGGGAGAAAGAACACTTGTCTTTCTCCCTTGTCATTCATCACTTCGATTAGCATTGCAAAGCCTTGCAGCTTCAAGGCCTGGCTGATTCCAACCTGGGGAATCCTTTGTTGGGAGGTGTTAGCTGGCCCTGTTGGTTTCATGTCTGGAATTCCCCTGTTTTCAGAGTGTTGCTCTTTATTTACCAGTATTAAAAAAAACCTCTAAAATCAGGACAGTGAATAAAGAGGAACACTTTAAAAACAGGGGAATTCCAGACATGAAATAATCAGGGCCAGCTAACACCTCCCAACAAAAGATTATCCCCGGCAGGAATCCTTTGTTGGGAGGTGTTACCTGGCCCTGATGGTTTCATGTCTGAAATTCCCCTGTTTTCAGAGTGTTGGTCTTTATTTACCAATATTAAAAAAACCTCTAAAAGCAGGACAGTAAATAAATAAACAGGGGGATTCCAGACATGAAATAATCAGGGCCAGCTAACACCTCCCAACATTGGATTCTCCCCGGCAGGAATCAGCCAGGCTTTGAAGCTGCAAGGCTTTGCAATGCTAATCGAAGTGATTAGTTGTGTTATGCATTCATGTTTTATGTAATTATGATGTTGTTGTTTATTGTTTGCATTTTATTCTGCTGTAATTTGTTGTTTGGGCTTGGCCTCACGTAGGCTGCCACAAGTCCCCATTGCGGAAATGGTGGTGGGGTATAAAGTTTATTATTATTATTATTATTATTATTATTATTATTATTACAGTTTTATTCTGCTGTAATTTGTTGTTTGGGCTTGGCCGCCCCAAGTCCCCATTGGGGAGATGGTGGTGGGGTATAAATAATAATAATAATAATAATAATAATAATAATAATAATAATAATAATTATTATTATTATTATTATTATCTGCAACATTCGCACTTGCCGGCAACAGACAAGAGCTCTTTCTCTCACCCTGGACTTTCCACAGATAGATAAACCTCACTTTCCTAGTTTCTAACAGACCTCACAACCTCTGAGATGTGGGCAAAATGTCAGGAGAGAATGCTTCTGGGAAAAAGGCCAGACAGCCTGGAAAACTCACAGCACCCAGTGATTCTGGCTACGAAAACACCATTGAAGTTTTTGTAATATTGCCTTTCTAAAACACCACCAACCCCAGAAACTCTCTTGCACTTCTGCGGCTGTGAGATGCTAACAAAAATAGTAATTATCAATAGCTTATCGATAATCTTAAAAGCTAAACCAAGAATCTAGGCTTTCTTTGGGCATTCACAATGCACCATAGACTTTGCAGCAGTCCCAAGAAGGGGTGCTTTGCAACCTCCACCCTTTTGCGGTCGTAAACATTCTCCCAAAGCTTTCCCTTGCTTGCCCCACAGTTTCTTTCAAGTGGGTCTGTTTATCTGTGCAGTCTCTTTAGTATGGGTACACCCTTGCAAGAAGGAAAAAAAC